GTGTGTGTGTGTGTGTGTGTGTGTGTGTGTGTGTGTGTGTGTGTGTGTGTGTGTGTGTGTGTGTGGTAGTGTTTTTATTTCCTGCACCTGTGATGCTGTCAGCCTACAGAGCATTTGCAGATTTACACTAAGAAGTCTAGCAGAGCCCCTTAATGATACATATGGCCATGATTTATGAATGCATGTGTGCATTGGTATACACAGAAGTGCAATCATATACACTGCATACATTGTTTGTCTACTATATGATTTGTACATTTGGGATTTTATTGGTTTTATCTGACATATGTACAACCTTTGTCTATACTTTGGTGAATTACAGTAGAAAATACTTACTGGTGTTCTGGTATCATCACAAACGTACATCCAGCATTCACTTCAATAATCTGATTATAATATAATCATTTATGAGGTGAGAGTTCAGTTAAAGGAGCACCTCATAAATGATGTTCATTTTATTCAGTGTGTGCGTGGAGTTGAACTACACACAGCAGAAAGGTGTTAGAAGCAGAGCAGTAACACGATTATTAAACCTTCAACCAAAACTGCTTTTAATAGAAAGCCAAAACAAAAGCACACAAGCAGAAGAGCCCTGCACTATGCAAACATGTGCCCACCACCATGCAGAAAACCAAAAGTCTTCATGCTTTGTGTTTTTTCTTTCAATGCTAAGGCCAGGCCAGCCAGTTCCAGCCTCCGTCTCTGTCTCCGTCCTCCTCTCTGTCGCCTTGCTCAGAAGTTCAGGTCACTCAGTTTATTCGTCAGTTTGTGGCTTCCTGCCTGCTGGTGTCCGACTCCAACACTGAGCTGTCCTACGTGCTGCCTTCTGAGGCTGTCAAGAAGGGCTGTTTTGAGAGGCTGTTTCAGGTACATTTACACAAGCAAAGAAAACTCTTCTGTTACAGAATAAACTCACAGCTATTGATCGCAAGGTTGGTAGTTTGATCCCTGGTTGCTCCCAGTCTGTATGCCAAATATCCTTGGCCAAGATACTAACCTCAAGTTGCTCATCAATGCATCCATCAGAGTGTGAATGTTTGATAAAAAACACGTGTGTAGAAAAAGAGTAGAAAAAAGTGCTGGTGTGAATGATGAGTAGAAAAGCAGGTCATTTACATCGTTTCTGATGCTGCTGCTGATTCTATATATGGTCTGGCTAATTGCATAAAAGACAATGTGTTTTAAATTTAATCTAATTCAATTCAGTTTTATTTATATAGCACCAAATTACAACCACAGTTACTTCAAGGTGCTTTTGTAAACTAACAACTCTACAATAATACAGAAAACAACTGCCTTGGTGGCTGTGGGAAGGAGAACTCCCTTTTAACAGGAAGTAGCTTCCTGCAGAACCAGGTTCAGCAAGGAGCAGTGATACTCTGTGATAGGTCGGCCGTGCAGGGAGGAAGACAGTAGAACTGTGGAAGAGGGCCGTGGATTCATAATCCATGGATGGATGAATGGGTGGATTTGGCCTGCACCAAGCAGACCCCCCACTGGGCACCAAAGAGGCCCAAGCCAGGGGAAGCAACTACAAATGAGTAGCAGTAGGGAGGGGAAACCCCCAACCTCCATGACCATGGCCTGCAATGGGCAGGGCTCAGAAAGGCCCAGGCTCAGGCCTAGCCAAATATACATGTTCCCAAAAGGAGACGAGCAAAACTGAGAATGAAAAAACTAAATGGGATATAATAAAAACTTAAACTGACATAAATAAAGGACAAAGATGTGGAAACCACACAAGTAGTAGTAAAATGTTGAACTCAAAATGCTAGTACAAAGACCCAGCACTGTAAGTGTGACATAAAAAACAACTTTTTAACAGTGTTGTAGTACCCCAAACCTTGGCAGGTCTTAGCATGGTGTGCAGTGTCCTCAAAGAAGTGGACAAAAGAAGACCCATAAAGGCCGACAAACTTCAATTCAGTTTTATTTATATAGAACCAAACAACAGTCGCCTCAAGGTGCTTTATACTGTAAGGTAGACCCAACAATCATATGACCCCCTATGAGCAGCACTTTGGTGACAGTGGGAAGGAAAAACTCCCTTTTAACAGGAAGAAAC